GAAAGCTGCCTTCATAGTAACCCGGCGCTGCCAGCATTACAAAAGGTGGTATCGCAACAAACCCATTAGAAAAGTTGGTGTCGCAACCAACCCAAAAGGACAGCAGGCTACCATGGAGGCAGTGAGAGAGAAAGCTGCCTTCATGGTAACCCGGCGCTGCCAGCATTAGAAAAGGTGGTATCGCAACAAACCCAATATATAGAAAAGTTGGTGTCGCAACCAACCCAAAAGGACAGCAGGCTACCATGGAGGCAGTGAGAGAGAAAGCTGCCTTCATGGTAACCCGGCGCTGCCAGCATTAGAAAAGGTGGTATCGCAACAAATCGCAACAAACCCATTAGAAAAGTTGGTGTCGCAACCAACCCAAAAGGACAGCAGGCTACCATGGAGGCAGTGAGAGAGAAAGCTGCCTTCATGGTAACCCGGCGCTGCCAGCATTAGAAAAGGTGGTATCGCAACAAACCCATTAGAAAAGTTGGTGTCGCAACCAACCCAAAAGGACAGCAGGCTACCATGGAGGCAGTGAGAGAGAAAGCTGCCTTCATGGTAACCCGGCGCTGCCAGCGTTAGAAAAGGTGGTATCGCAAACAACCCAAAAGGACAGCAGGCTACCGTGGAGGCAGTGGGAGAGAAAGCTGCCTCCATGATAACCCGGCGCTGCCATCATTAGAAAAGTTGGTGTCCCAATGCGGATGATCTAGAAAGGGGCGTTTCTAAGTGTTCACCACCCACCTGACTGCAAGCTCGAATTCATCCATAACGCACATATGTTGTTCTACATATATATATATACAGACCCTGAGCATGAATCGGCGGGGGTCACACTATCGCTCGTCGAAATGATGCCCTTGTGTCTGGACCCAGGAGCTGTTTAAGATAGCGATGTGCGAATACGAAATGCAAAAGCTGAAGTCAGTGACAAGTTCTCACATTTGGACCAACATATATAATGTAACGGAAAACTAACACACAACTAAGGTTTGCAAGGGTCCGAGCCCACCTGACACAGCGCATTCTAACCCTATCGAACTCCATCACCCTGAAACACGGAGAGACAGCTGAGTGCCCCGACCGATCGTAGAGCGAAGCCCAGCACGTCCAGCTCGATTTGCAAATTTAAAAACGCCCCTCAAGTGGTGCATGTATACATATATATAAAGATTTCCAGGTCGTCGTGATGGGAGGCATATGGCCTGTCAGGAGAAAATGCATATGTGTATATATATATATATATATGTGCATGCATGCGTGAAGGTTGAACCAAGCCCAAAAAATATCAAACAAGGCGTGAAACATATGAACGATCATAAACAGCTGGGGGTGAACACTTAGAAACGCCTCCCCCAACCCCACCCTTTTCAGAGTCTACCAACTGGACTTGTTTGTGTGACCAATCCTCCATACATGTCAGCACGTGTGTGAGCAAGGCATGATCTACTTACACAAACACACACATATCTATATATATATATAGACCTTCGTCATGGGGGCATCGGTGTTTTCTTGGGGTTGCCGGAAGCTTGAAATCAGCTGGGGGTGAACACTTAGAAACGCCCCCCACCCTCCCCCCCGCCCCAGATTCTACCAATGGGGCTTGTCTGTGTATGTGCATGACCAAAAAATCCTATATGTCAGTGCGCCTGCGAGCAAGGCATGCAAGGCACATGATTTACTTACATACACACATACTTATATATATATATATATATTATACATGTATACATATATATGTATATAGATAGACCTTCCTCCTCGGGGCATCGGTGCTTTCTTGGGGTTGCCGGAAGCTTGAAATCAGCTGGGGGTGAACACTTAGAAACGCCCCCCACCCTCCCCCCCCCGCCCCAGATTCTACCAATGGGGCTTGTCTGTGTATGTGCATGACCAAAAAATCCTATATGTCAGTGCGTTTGCGAGCAAGGCATGATTTACTTACATACACACATACTTACATATATATATATATATTATACATATATACATATATATGTATATAGATAGACCTTCCTCCTCGGGGCATCGGTGCTTTCGTGGGGTTGCCGGAAGCTTGAAATCAGCTGGGGGTGAACACTTAGAAACGCCTCCCCCAACCCCCCCCCCCAGAGTCGACCAATTGGACTTGTTTGTGTGTATACATGACCAATCCTCCATACATGTCAGCACGTGTGTGAGCAAGGTGGGGCCATCAAACAAGGCGTGAAACACATGAGCGATCGTGTATAGCTGTTGGGCTAGTGCTGCAAACCGTTTCTAAGTGTTGAAAAAAGTTTCTAAGTGTTGAAAATCATTTCTAAGTGTTGAATTGGGTTGTAGCAGTCCGGATCAACACTTAGAAACAAAAGTACCTGCTGGGGACAGCACTTAGAAACGAAAAAAGTACGTGGTGCCAAAAGAAAATTTCCAAAACCGTTTCTAAGTGTATGTCCGTCACTATAAAGGGAAGCCCAGAAGGAACACCATATATATATATATACACTTTTTGGGTGGGAGGGTCCCTAAGAAAAAAACACATCCATACGAGACTGGCACGCAACCGGGCAAACGTGATGTTCCTTTTTGTGCGACCAGTTGGGTTACGTGTTAGCTGAGAGAACCAACAACCAAGCCTAGACCAACCCTTAACACACTCGTACGCCAGGCCGGCTCAACCGAGACCACTCCCCTACGCCAACACGGCAGCAATGAAAGGCAGAAACTCGCAGACAACAGCCCTACCCACACTCAACCAGAACCGCAAGTCAGCCCGAGCCTTCAGCACAAGCGTCCTCGAATTCACAATGGGGGATTGTACCATTGCCACCAAGAACCAACGGACATCCGAGCAACGGAATCCGTTTCCCATGCCCCCTGATGGTCGAGCTTCCACCACTGTGACGCTGAACTTCTTCTTCAGCTCACGGGCACAGAACGTGCCCGTGAACTGACTGCCTGGAAACGCCGAGCAACGGCAGTTGCAAATCTCTAGGGGCTGATTCCTTGTGCATTCTTTTCAGCCATCGCTCTAAAAAAAAAAAAAAAAAAAAACAGAAAAAACAGCCATCTCCCCAGGGCTTTTGGTGGTTTTCTTGAAAGAAGGATCCCCGGAAAGCATGGGGAAGTCACCCCTAGAAAATCAACTGGTGCCCGTCACATCCAGTCGGACACAAACACACAATGGCATATCAGCAATGGCATGTCCGAGCCAATGCCAAGAATATTCACGTCCACTTCACACTAAGTCGTAAAATGGGAATGGGGAATCTGCGCTTCGTCGATTTTTAGAGCACTTTGAGACGGGAAGGTTGCTTTCTTGGATTGTTCCCCTTCCATTCGGTTTTGAGGAAGGATTCTCAACACCCTTGCCAACAAAAAGAGAAAGAAATGCGAGCGGCCATACAGGGCACCCTCTTGTCGACTTGAACTCAGTTCCTGAGTGGCTTGGCAAAAAACAAGTCCAAACGTTTTGTGTACCAAAACGGTCCACGCCCAAAAAGGTGGCTAAATGTCCGAAACGGAGCTCGGGAAGTGGGAAGGGGAACCCCATGCACAAAGTCCAGGTAACCCGCACCGGTCTGCGCCACCCTGCGCTACCAATTGAGCCCAAGGCGCCGATGACGAGGCAGCGGGGCTTGGGCGCCATGGCGTCGGAGAGGCTTTGACGAGATATCTTGCGGGATCGGGTCAAAATCGGTTATCCCCCAGTGAACATCTGATTCAATTCAACCAATAAAATAGGTTCTAAAATGGGTGGTGAATTGGGATCCCAAAACGGTTTTGACCCACAGCCATCTAGGGAAGAGCTGGGGCCTAGAGCACGGTTTTGCTCCATTTGACATGGGGGGCTTCCATCTCCAAATAAAGGAAGGCAACCAAAACAAGAATAAGGAGGTTGTGGGTTCGCCTGCAAGGAATCCGTGAAATGAGGGCCCCCTGTAAAAGGAGCCTGCATCATTGGTGAGGTCCCTTTGTGAGGTCGCCGAGATAACATCATTTTGCTCGTGGGCCAAAGCCCCCCTCACCCCCTCACACCCTCACCTGACCATTCGGAAAAACACGCCTTGCAACGTGGTCTTGGTCGAGGAATTGGTCTGCTCGCACTCCAGCGAATCCCCCAACAAACGCAGTCCGTCTCAGAAACAGGAACTCACCAAGCTGAGCCTGGGAATCTCTAGTAAAGCAACCTGCCACAAATTACCCCCAACCGGTAAGCTCGATAGAGTAGTGGTGCATGGCGCGCTTATGTAAAGAAGCGCAGCATGAGCTCAGTGCTCAAGTAAGAGCGACATGGGCGTTTCTGAGCCCAGGCAGAAAACAAAATGACTTCTACACTGCCCATTTCCCTTCCAACCGCAGTATGTTTGGCACTGCTAGGCCCCCTCATGTACACCTTGCCTGCAGGTATCAACTCTTCGGAAATGTCAGGCAGTCCAGCAGAGTTGCCTAGGCGGAGCTTTGGAGCTAAGGAAGCACCGGTGAGGGCCCTTGGAGACAGGACATGGGCCAGAAACATCCGACAATCCGCCAATCACCGGACACGCAGGAACACAACGCCTGGGCTGGGGAAGTAAGGCAGGACAACACCTGCACTCACTCAGCTCGAGCTCCCTTCCGCCGTCCGCAACCCGACAAGCTCCAGAGAAAATGTGTCTGGAGAGCTGCGAGAAGCGAAGGAAGGGCTTCACCGGAGGCAGAAGAGAGCCCCTTTCACATGGCGACAGCCCTCGCAACATAAACAACAAAGCACTGAGAACGTGCTACAAGGTGAGGCAGGCACACAAGTCCTGGTTGAAAGCAACCTGGCACATTGATGAGTTAGGTTCTCCCTACTCCCGTTTCTCTTCAAGCTAGAATCTGCATGAAGGTCACGCAGGTACTGCAGCACGCTTCTTTGCTGCGATGAATCAAATCCTGGCTCCTACTTTGCTCGGCTGGGCCAATGGCCACTCGACATTTGACCCACAGCCAGGCTAAATGAGTGTGCTTTTTGGGGGGGTACCGTGTTCAGATTGGAAAGCACTTTAAAGGGGGACCAACAGAAAAGGAAAGTAACCTTTGACCTGTACCCAACTTCAGCCGCGAAAGCAAGCAGCGCATCCCTGGCTTTATGCGGATCAAGCACAGCCGGGACACGTGCAAAGAGGTGCGGGCGGCCCTTCTCGTGGCTTTGAAAACTGCCGGTCCGGAGACGGGTGCGAATTCATTCGGACTGAGCCCAGTCTGCGCTGCCAGCTATGAGGCGCGCCAGGAGATCTGCAGCTGGGGGCAGCCCCACAGCCAATGGCTCAGCGAGGGTAGCCCTCGGTGATGACTTCCATCACCACCGGCGCGTCCGGGCCCCTTTCCGATTTCATCGACCTCACACACACATATACATATATATATATATATATGTCTGTATGCATTTATTTATCTTTTGCCCCCCAAACCGATCCCCCTGTGTCTTTTGTTGGGGTGCCTTTTTGCGTCCGGTTTCAGAGCAAAGGGAAGCCGGAAGACTGGAAGCCGCAATTTGTTGGGGCCCCCTAAAGAAAAACAAGCCCAACCCTACAGTGCCTCTACAGAACTCCTGGTAGCTCCTTAGCTCCCTTCCAACCACTAGCTAGAACCAGGGAATCCATTGGAATGAGCCCTATAAATCATGATTTCTTTCGGACATCCACTCTCGATTCATTCCCAACACTGGGTCATTCCCTACCTATCGCACCAGCAAGCAGCCCCAAAATGACCATGGGCAACTCTTCTCCTGTAGTGACAGCAGTTTTCTTTTGTAACTTCCCCGGTCATTCCATCTATCACGGCACTTTTTTCATCAACCTCCAAATCAAAGCGACTTGCTAGTTCTCAGCCGGGAATGAGTTGAAATGACCCCGAACTGAACATCATTCCCAACACTCGGACTCGTCGGCACTTTCTACCTGAGCACCAGGACCGGTCCTTAAATCCAAAGGAGAGCTTCCTTTATTTGGGACTCCCCCCTTTTTTCGGTGCATTCCCAACAAAAGATTCAAGCACCAGCTACCGCCTCTTGACCAACCGGACCAACCCCAGGACCGGAAGGTCGCGGGGCATCTTCTTCTCGATCTCCCCGCTGCTCTGGCGCCGCAGCCC